TGTTACCTGCCCATGACAGGGGTGTTACCTGCCCAGGGGACTCACCTGGGAGGCGAGGTCCGTCCAGGCCGCAGGGTGGGGATCGTGCAGGGTGACAGACTTGACGCCCCCCAGCACCAGGTTCTTGGCCACCTCCACGCCGAGCCCCCGCAGCCCCGACACCAGCACGTTGGAGGTCTGCATGCGCTTCATGGCCTCGTGGCCCAGCACGTACCTGGGATGGGGGTCGGGGGGGTCCCGAATGCTCGTGGGGATCCCAATCCTCACAGGCACCCCTGAATCCCCACAGTGCCCCCTGGATCCTCAAGGGCTCCCCCCCTACCCCAATCCTCACAGGGCCCCCCAACACCACGGGAACAGCTGAAGGGACCTGCAATGGTCCCGGGTGTCCAGGGCCCCCCCAAACCTGCAGGGACCCCCCAATCCACAAAATTCTGTCTCAATCCACGGGCACTGATCCCCAAGTCCAGAAGGAACCCAAAACCTACAGGAACCACCTACCAAGTCCAAAATGACCCTGTCCAAGCCCATAAAAAGTCCCCCAAATCCATGGGGATGCCACGACCCCTCGGGAAGGATCCAGGCAGGGGGGAGGCCCCGAGCCCCCCCAGGGACCCCCAGGCCCCCTCAAGCCCCCCATCACTCACAGCTGGCGGGAGTAGAGCCCCTCATCGATCTCGGCCTCGGCCCCGTTCTTCGCCATTCCCTGGGGACAGGGGGGACAGCGGCATCACCAGGGGGACACCCAGGGGACACCGGGGCTGTGTCACCCCGGGATCAGGAGTGGGACCCCCCAGGGGTGACACCAGGGGTGAGGGGCTGTGTCACCCCCCCTTGGTGACACTGCCCACGACAAGGGACACACGTCACCCCCAGGACACACAAGGACTCTTGGGTGACACCAAGTGACCCCGTGCCACATCCAGGCCACACCGTGTCACCCGGAGCAGCTCCAAGCACCTCAGAGGTGACACTGAGAGCAGTGCCAGCCTCCCGCAAGACATGGCCCCCCAGAAGGGTTCCAGGGGCTCTGTGGGGCTGCAGGGCCCCTGAGGTGACACTCACGTTGGTGGGGGTGACGCTGGGGGACACGGCGGGGGCGGGGGCGCGGCTGGAGCCCGTCGGCGGCTCAGACCCGGAGACGCGGCGCTTCTTCGACAGCGGGGAGCTGGACATCTGGGGACAGATGGGGACAAATGGGGACAAACAGGGTCAGCTGGGGTCACTGGGACACTGGGGAGCTGGACATCTGGGGACAGGGACAGATGGGGACAAGCAGGGTCAGCTGGGGTCACAGGGAAAGCAAGGCTGGACATTTGGGGACAAGGGTGACATGAGGAGAGCAGGAGGGAGAGCAGGGAGCTGGACATCTGGGGGGACAGGAGGCAGCCAGGGACAGGGGGACACTTGGAGGAGCACTCAGGGGGCCAGAAGTGACATCTGTGGGGATGTGGGGTGACACTGTCAGGGGTGGGTGGCACATGGGGTGGCAATGAGTGGGACACAGGGTGACACCAGGTACAAGGAGTGATGCTGGGGGAGGATGGGGGGCAGCACCAGGTGACACTGGGAGTGGCATCAGGGATGCAGAGTGACATCAGCTGACACCACGGGACGGACAGGGTGACACCAGGTGACACCAGAGATGGACAAGGGGACGCTGGGTGACACCAGGTGATGCTGGGTCACGGGGGGGGGTGGCATCAGGTGATGCCACAGGATCAAGGGTGACATTAAGTGACACCAAGGATGGCCAGGGTGACGCGAGGTCATGGGCGGGGACACCAGGTGGGCCGGCAGGTGACACCAAGTGACACCAGCGATGGATACGGTGACACTGCCCGACAGCAAGGGAAGGACGAGTGCAAGGGGGACTCTGGGTGACACTGAGGGATGAAGGAGGACACAGGGGGACAGGGACAGTGGCACTGGGGGACAGTGTGGGACAACAGGTCACACTGCCAGCACCCCCCGGACCCAGGCACCGGGGATTCCAAGAAACGAGGGTGGCGGGGCGGGTCCCGCTCCGGGGTGCCATCACCGGGGGAGGTTCCATTGCGGGGCTTTCCCATTAACCAGGGCGTTCCCCATTAACCGGGAGGTTCCAGTTCCGGGGGTTCCATTGCGGGACTTCCCCATCACCGGGGGGGCTTTCCCAGCCCCGGGGGTCCCCGAGAGAGGGTCCCAGTCCTGGGTCGAGTTCCCCGTCACAGGGGACCCTGGGAGGGGGGGCGGTTCCCCTTCACAGACCCCCCCCGTGCCCCCTTCAGCGCCTCCCCTCAGGCCCGGTTCGGGGTCCTCCCGCGCGGTGCCGGCCCCGCGTGCCCCAGGGTGGTCCCCTCGCCACCTCACACGTCCTCAAGCGCCCCCCGGAGCCCCCCCCAGCGCCCCCCGGGGCCGCACCAATGTCGCTGTCCAGGCCCCGCCGCCGGGTCCCGCCCGCTCCGCTCGGCTCCTCCGCGACAAGATGGCGGCCGCGGCCGCTGCCACCCGCCGCCCCCTCCCTGCGCGCGCCCGGCCACGCCCCCCGCGCCGTCCCATTGGCTGCCTTCGCCCGGCGCCGCGCGCCCATTGGCCGGCGCCTCCCGCCACCGCCCGCCCCCTCCGCCCCCCGCGCGCGGATTGGGCGGGCGCGCCCTCGCTGGCCACGCCCCTTTCCCCGCCGCGGGGCCCGGATGCAGAGGCCACGCCCCCTCGCGCGGCGTAGGCGGGAGGGGCGGGGCCTCGTGACACAGCGCGGCGCGCGCCGCCCGACGGCGGCCCACGAGGGACACGGGGGGGAGCCGGGCCTATGGGGGAACGGGGACCCGTGGGGGAGCTACGAGGGTGACTTCGGGACCTAAAGTGGGGTTGGGATGTGTAATGGGAGCTTATCAGGGCCTGTAGGGGCCTGCAGGCCGTGTATGGGGAACTACAGACTAAAAACAATATAAAAAGCTTATAAAGAGAGTGCAGGAAATCACAGGGGGCTGCGGCGGGGTCAGGGGGCGTCTCTGAGGTGACGCAGAAAAACCTAGAGGGGTCCAGGGGTCTGAGCGGGTCTGGAGATCCACGGGGGGCTGTGGAGGGTTGTGGGAGCGGGTGGCGGGGTCACAGAGCGTCCTAGGGGGACCTGAGGGTTCCAGGGGCCTGAGAGAGGGGTGTGGGGAACCTCGGTGGGAGTTACGGGGAGCTCTGAGCTGAAAGGCTCTAAAGGCCCGTGGGAGGGGCCGGCAGGGCACGTGGGAGAGGAACCATGCCAGGAACGCGTGATATCGCGCTCTGATGCCGTCACGGAGCCGCGGCGCTGCCGGGAAACGTAGTCCCATCTTGTCCTCCCCCCCCTTCCCCAAAATAACAGACCGAGACACGGCCATACCCAGCGCTTTATTCACAGACCAGGGGGCACCGCGGACACTCCGGGTGGGGGTCCAGGTCACTCCTGGGGGGGCAGGGAAAGCCGCGCGGGGTCGTAGTAGTTGGAGGTGAGCAGGGGCAGCCCCAGCCGCTCCCGCTCCCGCACCTGGATCTCGGCCTCGCGCCGCGCCCACTGCGTCAGCCTGCGGGGAGGGGTCAGCCGTGGGGGGCAGTCCCGGCCGGGGACCCCCCACACAACCCGGGGATCCCAAATCCCCCTCTCCTTGGTGATCAAACTCCCTCCCACAGAGCCCACGTGTCCCTATAAGTTCTTATAGCCCCCCAAACCCTCCTACGGGTTCCCCACGGATCCCACCCCCCTCCAGCCTCCCACGACACCCTACAGGGTCCCTTCCAGACTCCCATCCAGCCCACGGTTCCCCCTGAGGGCTGCCAGGGGTCCTGATAACCCCCAGGGATTCACACAGGACCGCCCTGGGCTCCAGAGGGGCTCTCAGGGATCCCCAAATCCCCTCACGGGCTCCTTTGAATGCCTCTGGCCCCCCCAGACCCCAACAGACAGCCCAGGAGCCCCAGAAACCTCCCCATGGCTCCCTTTAGACCCCAATAGTGGATTTTGAAGCCCCCCTACAGGTCTCCCCCACCCCTCTGGGGCCATCCCAGCACCCCCTTCACCCCAGGGTGGGTTCCCGGGGCCCCCCCGACAGACCCGTAGTCGGGCAGGTAGTGCAGGAACACAGAGCCCAGGACGATGGCGACAGAAATGCCGGTGAAGAACACCGCGTGCATGTTCAGCACGTCCACGTCGGGGTCATCGGAGAACCCGTGATAGTCGGGGTTCTGCGGAGGGGGGGAAAGCAATGAGGGGCCCGTCCTTTGAGCCCCCCGCCCAGGGACCCCCCCAGATGTGTCCCCCCCTCCACAGACCCCCAGATGTGTCCCCCCTCCCCACCCAGACCGGGCCCCCGCCCCCAAGCCCCGCCCCGAACGCAACAAGCCCCACCCACCCCTTTGCCCCCACCCACAATGAGCCCTTGCAAGCCCCGCCCCCGCGCGTGGCTCCGCCCCCACGTCCCGTAACCCGCCCACTTGGAGAAAGCCACGCCCCCACCCCCCGCTGCGATGGAAACTCCGCCCACTCACAAGCCCCGCCCCCAAAGCTCCGCTCTGCGAGGCCACGCCCCCACCCCCAAAATCCCCGTCCCTCACGGTTTGCCCTTGGCCCGCCCGCCCCCGCCCACCTTCCTCTGCGCCGCCGCCATGGGCTCCTCCTCGTGCGGGTCAGCGCCGAGCGGCCGCGGCAGCGTCAAGGCCCCGGTTGGTCCCGCGGAGCGGCCCCGGACCCCCGGGCAGAGCCCGCAGAGCCCGCAGCGCCCGCGCCAGCGCCGCCATCTTCCCCCGCGCTCCGCCCCGCCCCTTCCCGCCCGCGCCGCCCAATCGGAACAGCTCTCCCGGGCAGAGCCCCGCCCCCCTCTCCACGGAGCCAATCACAGCCTACCGTTACCGCCTCGTCCTGCCCCCTTTCCGTCCTCAATCTACGCCGGCCCTACCCCCCGAAGGCGAAGACCAATGGCGAGGTGAGAAGCGGTGATGGGCGGGCGTTCTGACCAATGGGAGCGCGGCGGGGGCGGGCGCGCGGGCCGGGTCGGGCCGGGCTGGGAGCGGCGTCGCCATTTTGGCTCCTCGGCAGCGGCGGCGGCGGCGCCGCGCGGGCAGGTCCGGGCGGCTCGGTAGGGCGGGGCCGAACGGGAGGGGCGGGGTTACCGGGAGGGGCAGGGATGACCGGGGAGGGGCAGGGATGATCGGCAGTGCCGGGATTACCGGGAGGGGCGGGGCAGGGCTGACCGGGAGGGGCGTGTCGTATCGGGAGGGGCGGGGCTGACCGGCAGGGCCGGGATTACCGGGAGGGGCGGGACTGATCAGGGCCTCCCGCGCTGATGAGGAGGGGGTGGAGCCCAGGGTTGATCGCGCCTTGTATGGTAATTAGGGGGCGGGGCATCATGGGACCCTCCCCACCCTTCAGCTTCGCAGCTCCCATTGATTCCCAATTCATCCCGTTTCTCTCGCAGTTATCCCTTGGACGCTTCCGAGTTCGTCACAGAACCCTCCAGTGACCTTCTCAGTCGGTCCCAGTACATCACCGGTTCATTCAGATCTTTTCCAGTTAAACCCAGACCTTTCCGGTGACCCCCCAGCTGCCCCACTTTTCCCTCCCCAGTCCCTCCCAGTCTGAGCAGTCCCCGCCCCCGCAGTGTCGGTGCCATGGAGTACGAGCGCAGGTAGGGGGCCCGGGGGACCCCAAAACCGAGGACCTGAGGGCAAACGTTTGGGGGGCTCTTAGGGGACGCTTTTGGACCCTCTTTGGAGAAAAGTGTGATATTTTGGGGACCCTGTAGGTAGGAAAGTGATATTGGGGACCCCACAGGGGACACCTATGGGGACGTTTGGCCACCTCTGGGGGGCATTTGGGAACCCCCAATGGGGGTGATTTCACTGAGGGCCACCGAGGGGCCGCTTGTGTTCCCTGGGGGGGGAGCTTTGGGGACCCTCAGAGGAGCGATCGTTGGGGACCCCCGAGGCTGGAGAGGACCTGGGGACCCCCTACCCCTCTGCTGTCCACAGGGGCGGCCGCGGGGACCGCACGGGGCGTTACGGGGGGGCCCCGGCGCCCCCCGAGGACGGGTCCCGCACCCAGCGGGACCACGACTATCGCGACATGGACTATCGGGGCTACGGGGGACCCCCGGACGGGCCCCCCGCGCCCGGGACCCCCCCGCAGGTGGGTGTCAGACCCTGAGGGGGGTGTTGAGTCACCCCGTGGTGGGTGCTGGGACCCTCCTAACACCTTTACCCCATCCCCAGGCATCCTACGAGGCTGCGGAGCCCCCCCGGAAACGGGACCCTCCCCGGGACCCCCCCGTGGCTGCCGCGCTGCCGTTCGGCGCCGACAGCGACTACCGGGACCAGGATTACCGGGAGGGCCCCGAGGAGGAGCCGCGCACCAGCACCATCGTCATGCTCAGGATGCTGCCCCAGGCGGCCACTGAGAACGACGTGAGCCCCCAAACCCCAACCCCAACCCCCCCCATGGCCCCGCCCCAACCTGGGTGGACCCGCCCCCTGCCATAGATGACCCCGCCCCATACATGGGATGGCTCCACCCCCTGCCAGGGATGGCCCCACCCCAATCCAGCCTGGCCCCGCCCCTGTGAGGGCACCGTCCCTTCAGATCCCCCCAGGGCCCTGCACTGGTGGCTCCTGAGTGTCCATGGGGTCTGTGGGAAGGGTTGGCCCTGCCTTCTGCACTGGCTACACCCCCTCATTCCACCCCCAGCCCCCATCCATGGGTGTGGTCCTGCTCCTTCTCCTTGGCCCTGCCCTGTTTCCCTTAGGCCACACCCCTACAGTACTGACAGTTGAGAGTGGAAATAGCTGACAGATATACTGACAGACACCTGGGACCCCACTGGAGACACTCGGGGACTCTTGGGTGGGACCTGGGCAGGTTTGGGGTGTTTGGAGTTCCCCCTGTGTGTCCTCCTGATGTGGTGCTGTCCCTGTGTCCCTCCCCATGTCCCCCCTGTGTTCCCCCAGATCCGGGCGCAGCTCCAGGCCCAGGGGGTGCAGCCCCGCGAGGTGCGGCTGATGCGCAACAAATCCTCAGGTGAGTCCCCCCTGGGCTCCTCCTCCTTCACGTCCTGGCCCCTCTCTGAACATCTGGGGCCATCTCCACATCTGGACCGTGCTGTGAGGGAGGGGTGGGCCCCTTGATCCCCCTTGGGGTGTGGGTGGGGGACACCCAGACACTTGGATCCCTTGGAGGGGGTTGGGGTTCCTGCCCTGCCCATGCTGGGGGGCACCCAGGGGAGCTGGTCCTGTCCCCAGAGGCACCCAGGGATGTTTGTCCCATCTTTAGGAGCACCCAGGGGTGCTGTTCCTGTTCCTCAGGTGTGGTTCCGCCAGGCTTAGGGGACACCCAGGGGTGCCAGGCTTGTTTTTAGGGACACCCAGGGTGTGGCACCGGACTCAGGGGGTACCAGGGTTGCTTATCCTGTTCTCAGGAGCACCCAGGGGTGCTGATCCCATCCCCAGGGGCACCCAGGGGTGCCTGTTCCCTCTCTAGGAGCACCCAGGGGTGCTGGTCCTGTTCCCCAGGGGCACCCAGGGGTGCTTTTGCCAGCTTTAGGGGGCACCCAGGGGTGCCAGTCCCATCCTCAGGGGCACCCAGAGGTGCCTGTCCCTTCCAAGGAGCACCCAGGGGTGCTGTGCCATCCTTAGGGGGCACCCAGGGGTGCCCGTCCTGTTCCCCAGGGTGCCGCACCCAGGGGTGCCAGTCTAATTTCTAGGAGCACCCAGGGGTGCTGATCTGGACTTGGGGGACACCCAGGGGTGCCCATCACATCCCCAGGGGCACCCAGGGGTGCCAGTCTTATCTGTAGGGAGCACCCAGGGGTGCTGTACTGAAATTGGGGGGCACCCAGGGGTGCCCATCTTGTCTCTAGGAGCACCCAGGGGTGCTGGTCCTGTTCCCCAGGGGCACTCAGGGGTGCCAGTCCCTTCTTCAGGAGCACCCAGGGGTGCTGGTCCCATGTCTAGGGGCACCCAGGGGTGCTGCACCAGATTTGGGGGGCACCCAGGGGTGCCCATCACTTCCCTAGGGGCACCCAGGGGTGCCATTTCCACACCCAAGGGGCACCCAGTGGTGCTGGAGCCCTTCCAGGAGCACTCAGGGGTGCTGTGCCACATAGAGGGGGCACCCAGGGGTGCCAAACCCAAAGCTGGGGGCACCCAGGGGTGCCCATCTTCAGCCCTAGGGGCACCCAGGGGTGCCAGACCTTTCCCCAGGGGCACCCAGGGATGCTGAGCCCTTCCCAGGGGGCACCCAGGGGTGCCCAGACTCTCCAAGGGGCTCAGAGGGGTCCGTAGGAGCTCCCAGCTTTCCTTGGGGGTCCCAGAGGCGTCCCAGGATCACCCAAACCCAACCCAGGGGATTCCAGGGGTGCCCGGGGGGGTCCTGGGAGCACCCAGGGGGGTCCCTTCCCCACGCAGGGGGTCCCTGGGTGCCCCCCCAACCCCCCACCCGTTCCAGGTCAGAGCCGCGGCTTCGCCTTCGTCGAGTTCCACCACGTGCAGGAGGCGGCGAGATGGATGGAGGCCAACCAGGTGGGGGAGGGGCGGCCGGGGGGGGGAAGGGGTGGTTTGGGGGGTTACTGGGGGTACTGGTCTGTACTGGTTCCCCAGGTGTGGGGGGCACTTTTGTTTCTTTGTGTCTGTGTGAGCATCCTGTGACACCCTAGGGTGCCTCTGTGTGAGATCTGAGCCCTTGAGTGACACCCTGGGGTGCTCCTGTGTGAGATCTGAGCCCTTGAGTGACACCCTGGGGTGATCCTGTGTGGGATCTGATTGCCTGAGTGACACCCTGGGGTGATCCTGTGTGGGATCTGAGCCCTTCGGTGGCACCCTGGGGGGAGTGTCCTTGTGTGGGAACTGAGGTCCTTGAGTGACACCCTGGGGTACCTGTGTGGGATCTGAGTGCCTGAGTGACACCCTGGGGTGCCTCTGTGTAGGTTCTGAGCCCTTGGGTGACACCCTGGGGTGCTCCTGTGTGGGATCTGAGCCCCTCGGGCAAGGACTGAGCCGCTCGTGCGAGACCCTGGGGTGCCCACGCGTGGGATCTGAGTCCTTTGTGTGACGGCCTGGGGTGCCTCTGCGTGGGAACTGATGTGTGAGCGGCACCCTGGGGTGTCCCTGCGTGCAGACCGAGCCCCTCTTGCGAGGATTGAGCTCCTCGGGTGCCCCCCTTGGGTGCCCCCCGTGCGCAGCAGTGCAGGATGATGGTTGTGAGACCCCCGTGCAAACGCTGAGCTCCTCGTGTACCCCCCCATGTGAGCCCTGGGGCAGCTTTGTGCCAGCCCTGGGGCAGCTTTGTGCCAGCCCTGGGGTGCCCTGGGTGACCCCTGGGGTGCTCTGGGGGGCTGTGGTGTGAGGGCAGATGTGAGCCCTGGGCTGGCTTTTGTGCTGCTGGTGCCAGCCCTGGTGCTGCTGGTGCCAGCCCTGGAGTGTTCTGGTGCCAGTCCTGGTGTGTTCTGGTGCCAGTCCAGATGTGTTCTGGTGCCAGTCCTGGTGTGTTCTGGTGCCAGCCCTGGAGTGTTCTGGTGGTCCCTGGTGTGTCCCTCCGTGCCGGCTCCTGGGGGGGTCCCTGGTGCCAGCCCCGCTGGTGCCAGCCCTGGTGTGGAGCCTCGTGCCCGTGGTGCGTGGGCTGTTCTGAGGGTCAGTGGGAGGCCTTGTGGCCCCGTGGTGGGAGCCGTGGTTCCCCCTGGGTGGGCTCTGGTGCAGCCCTGTCCTGTGCCAGCCCTGGGGTAGATCCTTGTGCCCCCCGGGGCAAACCCTGGGGCAGAATTGTGTGTGAGGCCTTGGGGTGAACCCCAGGGGAGCCTTGGTACCCCCTGGTACCCTTGGTATGAGGGTTATGTGCTCTGGTGCTCCCTGATTCAAGTCTTGGTGCCCCCACCGTGAGCTCTGGTGCCCCCCAAAAGAAGTCCTGGTGCCCCCCTGGTGTCCCCCAATACGAGTCCTGGTGCCCCCCTCATTCGAGTCCCGGTGCCTGCCCCGTGTGTGCCCCCCAGGCCAGGCTGCCCCTCTTGGGTCACCGTGTGTCCCTGTGCCCCCCTGACCTGCTCTGTGCCCCCTCTGTGCCCCCCTGACCCTCTCTGTGCCCTCCTGACCTCTCTTGTACCCCCTGCCCCCCCTGTGCCCCCCAGGCCGGGCTGACCCTGCTGGGGCACCGCGTGTCCCTGCACTACAGCGACCCCAAACCCAAGATCAACGAGGACTGGCTCTGTGCCAAGGTGGGGGAGCCGGGGGGCATCGGGGTGGGGGGTTATCCTGGGGGAGAAGGGGTGGAATTTGAGGGGGTCCTGGGGGTTCTTGTGGGGATTTCTGGGGGTGCTGGGAGGAACGGGGGGCTTGGGGAGGGTTTGGGCGGTTCCAGGGAGGGTGCAAAGGGGTTGGTGGGGGCTGTGTGGGCTTTAAGGGGGTTCGGGGTCCAGGGGAAGACTGGGGGGTCTTGGTGGGGGGCTAAGAGGGTCTAGGGGGGTTTCAGACTGTGATTGTTTTGGGGTGTTGCAATTGGGGGGGTCTGTGGACAGGTTTGGGGGTCTGGGGGGCTCGGGATGTGACAGATTTATTGGACCTCAGTGTGGGATGCAGATTTTGGGGGTTTGGGGGGTCTATGGGCAGGTTTGGGGTTCCAGGGGCTCTGAGTGTGTTGGATTTTTGGGGTCTCAGTGCGGGGTGCAGATTTTAGGGGTTTGGGGGGTCTCTGGGCAGGTTTGGGGGTCTGAGGGGCTCGGGATGTGATGGATTTTTGGGGTCTCAGTGTGGGGTGCAGAACTTCAAACGGCGTGAGAAATGCTTCAAGTGCGGAGTCCCCAAAGCTGGTGAGTGACCCCAAACCCTTGGGATTCACCCCAAAACCCGGTAGGCCCCCTTTCCCTCCCCTGCACTGCCCCAAAAATGACTGTTCTCACCCCAAAACTATTGGGGTTTTCCCCAACACCCAGGACATCTCCCAAATTTCCCTGAACTTGTTCTCAGAATTGTTCCTGAATTTGCTGCTGAACTACCCTGGGGGGTCCCCAAAACTACCCTGGGGGTCTCCAAAGATGTTGCAGGGAAAGGGGAGGAGTTTGGGGGCGAATTTAGGAATTTGAGGACTCTGGTGTTAAACTGGGGGCAGGGGGTTGGCAGGGAATGAGAATTGGGGGGTGGGGGATGGTTTGGGGTTCACAGCCCCAGGTTGGGGGTTTTCCCACAAATTTGGGGGCTGACCATCCAGTGTTCGTGTCCAGCCCCCAGCTGGTGGTTTGCCCCCCGTTTTGGGGCTCAGTGGCTGATGGGGGTCCCGGGGGGCTGTTTTGGGGTGCAGAGGCAGAGCAGCGGGGCCCGGGGGGGCCACGGCCGGAGCTGGTGCCGGGAGGGGGGGGGCTGCTGCCCCTCCCCCAGGCCTATGGCCCCACACTGGGGGGGCCCCCTGGGGGATCCCAGGGGAGCACCGAGCCCGGAGCCGATAACGCCAATGACAGTGAGTTCGGGGGATCCTCGGGGGATGGTTTTGGGGCATTTTTGTGATGGTTTATGGGGACATCTCAAGGGGTCTTGGTGTGATTATGGGGGTTTTGAGAGGTCTGTGGGAGCTTTGGGGGGATTTTGGAAGAGGTGAGGTAGGACTTGAGGGGTTTGGGGGGAGTTTGGGGAGGGTTGATGGGGGTCCTGGGGGTTTCTTGAGAGACTTGGTAGGTCTTGGGATGGATTAGTGGGGCCTGAATGGATATAGGGGGTTCTCGAAGGGTTCTGGGGTGGTTTAGGGAGTTTGAAGGGGCATAGGGGGGCCTTTGGGGTCTGTGGGTTTGTCCAGGGGGAATTTTGGGGGTACTGAGGGTCTTGAGAGGGGGTTGAAGGAGCTGGAATAGGGGCAGGGGGAGTTTTGAAAGAGCCTAAACAGAGATTTGGGAGGGTCCTGAGAGCCTTGGGGAGTGCCTGGGTCTCCCTAAACTGGCTCTCCCCGACCCTGTGTGTGGTGTCCCCCCTGCCCTGCCCCCCCCAGCCATCATCCTGCGGAACCTGCACCCCCAGAGCAGCCTGGAGTCCATCCTGGCCGCCCTCGCCCCCTTCGCCGCCCTCTCGGCCGCCAACGTGAGGGTCATCAAGGACCGGCAGACGCAGCTCAACCGCGGCTTCGCCTTCGTGCAGCTCAGCACCATCGTGGTGGGGGTTTGGGGGGGTCTGGGGCTAGGCTGGTCAACATTGGAGGGGGGGCTGGAGGGGGTTTGGGGGCCTGACCACCATTGTCAGAGGGGTGGAGGGCTTGGGAGGGCCGGTCCCAGTGGGGGTGGGGGGCTGAGGGAGATGGGTGTTCCCAGACACTTGAACCCATCCAGGCACCTGGGTCCCCTTGTCTGAGGGGGTCCCAGGCATGGGGGTGTCTCCAGAGTGCTTTGTGCGGGGTGGGTGGGACACTGGGGCCTGTTTGGGGTCTTCACCCCGCCGCTCTGACCGTGGGGCCCCCACAAAACCCCCCGCAGGAGGCGGCGCAGCTGCTGCAGATGCTGCAGGCCCTGCACCCCCCGCTGCACATCGACGGCAAGAGCATCAACGTGGAGTTTGCCAAGGGCTCCAAGCGGTGAGAGCCACGCCTGGACACGCCCTGGCACAGGCCACGCCCCCGGTGCAGCCCCACCCACCCAGCCATGCCCTGGCAGAAGCCACGCCCCCCAGCCCGGCCACGCCCCTGCAGCCACACCCACAGTGTGGCCATGCCTGGCACAAGCCACAACCCCCAGCACAGGCCACACCCCAGTGCCAGTCCGTGCCCTTGGTCCCACACCCTGCCCCAGGGACCCCCCAGGCTCACCTGTGCAACCCCACTGCCATCCTCACCCCGCCCACAACCCCAAACCCTGCCCATCCCAAACCCTGCCCGCAGACCCAGCTTTGGGATAGCCTATGATTGCCCCAAGCTGCACCCACGGGTGCCCAAAGCTGTGCCCCACAACAAGCCCTACCCCACTGCACTATTCGTGCACAAGCCCCGCCCACCTCCCTGAAGCCACACCCCCTCTGCTGGGTGGGGACTCCCACCCTAAGGCCCCGCCCACTCCCCATAAACCACGCCCACAGAATCCTTGGCCCTGCCCCTGACTCTCGGCTCCACCCCCAGGGAAGTGCAGGGGGCAGGGCCAGGGGAGGGCCCGCCCCGTGCCAGCGCCGCCTCCGTCGCCTCCACGGCCATCGCCGCCGCCCAGTGGGCGCTGTCACAGGTGGGCGGGGCCGGGGGCAGTGGGAGGGGCTGGAGTGGGCGTGGCTCACTGAATGGGCGGGGTCTGGTGGATGAATGGGGTAGGGTTGGTGATGCATGGGCGGGGCCTACAGCAGAGGGGGGTGTGTCCTGATGTGGCCCCGCCCCCACAGGCAGCCCCGGGAAGCGACTCTGCGTGGTCAGGGGGGGAGGAGCCGAACAGCGACTTCAGCGGCTTCTACCAATCAGAGGAGCCCTTTGCCGGCCCCACCCCCACGCTCTACAGCTCTGCCTACCTGAAGGGCAGCTCGGCCCCGCCCCCCGGCCCTGCCCTGACAGGCCCCGCCCCACCAAGGCCGATGGCCCCGCCCCAGGTGAGTGTGGCCCCACCCCCAGGTGTGACCCCACCCCCAGGTGACCCCACCCCAGGTGTGACCCACCACCCAGGTGTGTTCCCAGGTGTGACCCCACCCCCAGGTGTGGCCCCGCCCCCCAGGTGTGGTGGCACCTGCTGAGCGCTTGGCGCCCCCTGCAGGTCCCGAGGAGCCAGCGCAGGACCCGGCGGGGGCAGGGGGGGGTCCCTTCTCCCGCGCCCCCCCTGGGGCTCCCCCCTACCCCTCCCCTGCCACTGAGACCCCCTCAGCGACACCCCCGGGAGCCCCTGGACAGGTGGGTCTCCCAAAATCGGGGAGGGGTGTCCAAGAGTGAAGGGAGAGGGAGGGCACCCCAAAAGTTGTGGAGGATGGGTGGGGGGTCCTTAAGAGGTGGGGATTGGGAGAGGAGGAGGAGACCCAAAAACGGGGAGGGGTTGAGTTGGGAGGAACCCCAAAACTGGGGAAAATGGGGTGGGTGGGCAAACGGTAAGGGGAAAGTGAGAGCCTAAAATTAGGGAGAGAGGGATGGAAATGGGAGGGGGGCCTGAAAAGGGCAGACTCAGGGGGACCTGGGGGTTCAGGGGGGATTTTGGGGGTGGGGAGTAATTTTGGGGTCTTTCACCTCCCCCCAGGCCTACTCGGGGCCCCTCAAGGCTGAGACCCCAAACACGGCCCCCACTGGACCCCCTGCGGCCGCTCCCCCCAGCACCGAGCCCTATGGCCAGTACCGTGAGTGGAGGTCCTGGGGGGGCTGGGGGGCCTTTGGGGAGGCTTTAATGGAGGCCTGGGAAGAACCTGGGGGGCTTGAAGGGACTACTGGGGGCCTGAGGCCTGGGGGAGGGTCCTGGGAGGGGTTTGGGGGGGGTCCTGGGGTGTTTCAGGGCGGTGTTGAGGTGGTCCTTGGCGGTTTGAGGGGGTCCTGGGGTGGTTCTGGGGGGTCCTGAGGGGGAGTTCTGGAGTGCTGAGGGGAGTTTTGGGAGTTCCCAAGATCTTGGGGGTGGTCCCAGGGTTTTGGGGGTCCCCCCTGACCCCTCTTGTGCCCCCCCAGCCGTGCCCGACGTCTCCACCTACCAGTACGACGAGACCTCGGGGTACTACTACGACCCCCTGACCGGCCTCTACTACGACCCCCACTCTCAGGTGGGGCTTCTGGGGGTGGCAGGGGGAGGGACTGAGGGGATGGGGGGTCCTCCCAACTTGCTGAGCAGAATTTTGGGCCAAAAAAGCGCAATCTGGGGCTGAAAATGGTGTTTTAAGGCTGGAAGGTGTTTGGGGGGAAATTTACATGTTTAAAGACTTTTTAAGGGTTTTTTTGAGGTCAGTGAATGGCTTTTGGGTGCAGAGGAAAGTTCTGAGGTACAGAAAGCACATTTAATGTTTTCAGCCAAGTCTTGGCCCAGAAGAGCGTGAATTTGGGTCTGAAATGTTTTAAGGCTGGAAGGTGTTTTGGGTAAAAAACGGGGAGCTGGGGAGCATTTAGGGTCTCGTTTTGAGACCCTGGGGGTGACTTCGGAGTGCAGAGGATGATTTTTGGGGCGCTGAGGGTGATAATGGGGCTTCAGAGGGCCCATATTGGGGTGCAGGGACCCCCTGACCCCCTGTTTCCCCCCCCCCAGTACTACTACGATGCTGGGGCGGGGCAGTACCTGTACTGGGACGGGGACCGACCGCACCTACGTGGCCGCACCCCCTGCCGAGCCCACCCTCGGCCCCTCGGCCCCCGGGCCCCCAAAGAGCCCAAGGACAAGAAGGAGAAGCACAAGACCAAGACAGCCCAGCAGGTTTGTGGAGACCCCCAAAAACAGAGGGTTTGGGGGATGGAGGGTGCTCAGGAGGCCCTGTGGGTTCTTAGAAGGGAAGGGAAAGACCCCAACAGCAGCTGTGGGCATCAGAGACCTGCTCTGTAACAATTGGGGTGGCTTCATATTTTTATGAGTCCCTACAGATCTTTAAGAGCCCCCATGTACCCTCACCCACCCCGAGAGCACCACGGGGGTCCCCAATATCCCCTGTGGGTCCCCCATAGCCCCCCAGTCCCCACCATGTCCCCGGGGTGCCCACAGACCCCAGTACCCCCACCCCGAATCCCCGCCACGTCTTCCCCTCTGGGTGTTGGGGTCCCTGGGCCTCCCAGGGTGTCCCCAGGGTGCCCCCAGCCCAGCAGCCCCTGGCCCCCGCAGATCGCCAAGGACATGGAGACGCTGGGCGCGGGAGCCTCAACAAGCAGCGAGAGCGGGCGCAGCGTGGGCCCCCGGCCTCCCGCGAGGACGAGGCGCAGGGAGGCGGCCGCGGCCGACGCCGGCTACGCCATCCTGGAGAAAAAGGTGGGGCTGGGGGTGCTGGGGGATCAGGGAGGATGGGGGATGTTTAGGGGGCTGGGGGTGCCGTGGGACCCTGTGGGAGGAGCTGTGCGCTGTGGGTGCTGGGGAGCACTGGAGGCTCTGGGGGTCTGGGGAGGTGGCAGTGGGTGCTGGGTGTGGAGTTGCTGGTGGAGGGGATGTGGGGGACCCATGGAGGCACTGTGGGCTGCATGAGCCCCCCCAACCCCTTGACCCCTCAAATTCCCCAGGGAGCTCTGGCTGAGCGGCAGCACCTGCCCCTGGAGCTGCCCCGGCTGGCGAGCGACGAGCGGCTGGTGAGACCCCAACCCCTGACCCCCCCGACCCTCTGACATCCCCTGGACCTCCTTGATGTCCCCTGGGCCCCCTGAGATCCCACAGAGCCCTCTGACAACCCCCATAAATCTCCTGAAGCCCAAACCTCTCTCCAGAACCCCAACACCCCATGAAAAACTCCCTGGAGTCCAGAGTCTTTCTAAACCTCCTCACTGCTCCCTCCTCAAAGCTTTGAGATCCCCCTGAGTCCCTAAACCCACCACCCATCCCAGACACTCCAGACACCCTCAGGCACCTGAGACGCCCTCAGATATTGAGGACTTCCTCTCATTCCCTTTATCCCCCACCCTGACCCCCAGCTCCCCACACCCCCTTTCTCTCTCCCAAAACCCCCCCAGCCCCTCTGATCCCCGTTTTTCTCCCCTCCCAGAGCCCCCCCCGCGGGTTGGTGGCCGCCTACAGCGGGGAGAGCGAGAGTGAGGAGGAGGGGGAGCGGGGAGGGGGCCCGGGACCCCCCGAGGAGCCGCTGACGGACTGGGCCAAGCTGGCGTGTTTGCTGTGCCGGAGGCAGTTCCCCAGCAGGGAGGCTCTGCTGAGGCACCAGCAGCTCTCAGGGCTGCACAAGGTACCCCCCAAATCACCCCCAAATCCTGGGGGGCATCCTGAGGTAATGGGGATACCCCCACAAAGATTAGGGACCCCCCAAAGGTCCAACACTGGGGGTGTTGGACTTTGCTGAGGCAGCAGCTGCACAAAGTACCCTCAAATCACCCCAAATCTGGGGGGGCATCCTGGGTTAGTGGGGATACCCCTACAAACATTAGGGACCTTGCTGAGGCAGCAGCAACTCTTGGGGCTGCACAAAGGACCCCCAAATCACCCCAAATCTGAGGGGCATCCTGGGGTAACAGGGACACCGCCAAGAGTCAGGAACCCCCCTTGGCTTGTTAGGGTCATGCTTTGGGGTGTCAGGGCTGCACAAGGTACCCCCAAATCACCCCAAAACCCAGTGGGGGTACCCTGGGGTAATGGGGACCCCATGGGGGAGCAAAGAACCTGCCCATGGGGTGGTGGGACCTGGTGAGAGGTGTCCCAGGTCTTTAAAGGGTGTTGGGGGCACCCTGTGGGGTCTTTGGGAATCCTCCACCAGGATTTTTGGGGGGGATATCAGGGGCTCTTGCAAGGTTTGGGGGGACCCCCCTGAGATCTTGGGGAGCCCCAGTTAACGGGGTGTCCCCCCTGCCCTCCCCCAGCAAAACCTGGAGCTGCAGCGCCGGAGCCACCTGCCCCCCCCCGAGGGGCCGGAGCGGGGGGACATGGAGGTGGGGGGCACAGGGGGCACCTGGGGGTGGGGAACACCCAGGGGGCATTCCTGGGAGGGGGTGGGATCCCAGTGTGACAGGGGAAACTTGGGGGCACCCAGGGGACTTGGGGGCAACTGGGGGCCCAGAGCACCTCGGGATGTTGGGGGCACCCATGGAGCTGGAGGCACCGGGAGGCAGGGGAGGGCTGGGGGCACCCATGGAGCTGGGGGGGCACAGGAAGGCAGGGGGAATGCTGGGGGCACCGATGGTTGCTGTGTCACCCCTCAGTGGGGTGGGGGCACCCATGGGGCTGGGGGTCCTTGGAGGTTGGGGCCCCCATGAGTGCGTGTGAGTCCTCAATGGGGTGGGGGCACACATGAGGCTGGGGGGTCCCTGAGGGTGGGAGGGCACAGGTGGGGTCCCTGGGGGCTGGGGGTACCCATGGGTGCTGCCCCCCAGATGAAGTACCGGGACCGCGCTGCCGAGCGCCGGGAGAAGCAGGGGGGCCCCGACCCCCCCGAACCCAAGCGGCGCAAATTCGGGGGACCCCCCCAGACCCCTGGGTGAGCACCTGACACACCCCCAGGGCACCCCAGGGCTGGGGGGGGGCTGTGGGGGCTGAACATGGAGGGCTGGGGTACCCCAAAAGTGGGGGGGCCCAACAGGTGAATGTGAGGTGAGTGACCCCAAAATGGGAGGGAGAAGATCCCAAAGGGGGGTGGGGACCCAAAAACAGGTGCTGTTGGATGGCAGATCCCAAAATGGGGACTGAGCACCCCAAAGTGGGTGGTGGGTCCTGTAGAGTGAGTGCTGTAAGGTGAGTAACCCCAAAAATGGGTGGTGGAGACCCCAAAAGGGGGTACCATGATGTGTGGTGGGGTTGGGGGGATCCCAAAATGGGGGTGCTGGACCCTGGAGGTGGGTGCTGTGGGGGTGGGATCCCCCAAAACTGGGTGCAGAGATCCCAGTGCTGGTGGTGGGGGTTGCTGGGACCCCTGGTGGGATGGGGGTCCGTGGGGCAGTGGGTGATCCCCAGTGACACCTCCTTCCCCCCCCGTGGTGCCCCCAGGGACACGGAGGGGCCCCCCCGTGAGGCCCCCCTGGGCTGTCGGATGCTGCAGGCCATGGGCTGGAAGGAGGGCAGTGGGCTGGGCCGGAGGAGGCCGGAGGTGACACGGGAGGGGGACAAAGGGGCTGGGAGGGGATAGGGGGATGGGATGAGGACAGGCACGAGTGGGACATGAGGGGGATATGGGGGCACAGGGAATAGGCTGGGCCGGAGGAGGTGACACCAGGGAGAGGGGGAGACAAGGGGGATGTGGGGGGACATGGGAGGACGTGAGGGGATGTGGGGTGAGGGGATGGGGGGACATGAGTGGGATCGGGGGGGCAACACTCATTGGGGGATGTGAGTGGGGGAACGGGCTGGAACGGCAGCGGCTGGAGGTGACGCAGGATGGGGGGGAATTTGGGGACACTGGGGACAAGAGGAAGGGTGGGACAGGAGGACGTGGGGAGTCACAGAGAACAGGCTAGGGTGGTGGTTGGAGGTGACATGGGACGACAGGGGAGATGTGGGGGGGACACTGGGAACACGGGGGGGGATGTTAATGTTGTGGGGTGGCACTGTGTGTGACCTGTGTGACCCTGCTGTCCCCACAGGCCCCTGCCCGGTCCCGCCCCGGGGGGGTGACACGGTTCAGCGAAGGCCCCTGAGCCCCCCGGCCACACCCACAGGACACGCCCTCCCGTGGACACACTCACCTGGGACACGCCCTGCCAGGGGCCACAATGTCTGGGTTCCCCCCAAAGTGGGGGTTCCTTGACCCCCTCCTCCAGTGTCACCCTGGTTGGGGACACCTAGAGTGGCCCTTCCCCCCCGGTAGAAGTGGCCCCACCCCTTCCCCCTTTCAGTTTTGGTGGTGGATTTTTTCTAATAAATGGGTGAAAAAAGCGGAAATTGGGGCTGGAATGGGGGGAAGGAAGAGACCTCTGTGTCCTTCCTGTGGGTGGGACCCCCTGGAGTTCCATCTCCTCTCCCTCCCCACTGTCCCCCACTTCCCCCCATGGCGCCTGTGGGGCTGATCCTGTTGATGCTCTGCTCTGCTCTGGGGCCCAGCGGTACGGGGGGACTGGGAGGGACTGGGGGGACTGGAGGGGACATGGGGAACTGGGGGAGACTGGGGGCACTGAGAGCACTGGGGGGACTGGGAGGGCACTGGGAGAAGACTGGGGGGATTGGGATGGAGTAGGGGCACTTGGGGTACTGGGGTGGACTGGGAGGGCACTGGGGAGACTGAGGGGGCTGGGGGGAGAGTGGGAGGGCACTGGGAGGAGACTGGGAGGATTGGGATGGAGTAGAGACACTTGGAGTACTGGGGTGGACTGGGAGGGCACTGGGGGGACTGGGAGGGCACTGGGCAGCACTGGGAGTCCTGAGGTGGGACTGGGGGGATTCTGGAAGCACTGGGGGCCTGGCAGAGGGAGGGAGAAGTGGAGAGCACTGGGGGGCACTGGGAGGGCTGGGGGTGGCCGGGTGGGGGGTGGAAGATGCTGGGAGAGATGCTGGGCGGTACTGGGAACACTGGGGAGCATCTCAGTTCCCCAGTGACCCTTTGTGACCCCTCATGGTCCCGTCCCCAGCGGCCAAAGTCGTCTGGTGCTTCGCCCGATTGGAGGAGGCCGAGGGGGGCGGGGCCTGCCTGGAGCCGGTGGGCGATGAGCCCATCCAATTGGCCGACTGCTGCCTCAACCCCGCCTACGGCTACAGGCCCCACCTGCACAGCCCCTGCCTCAGCTGCCGGTCAGCCCCGCCCACAGCAAAACCCTGCCCTCTAAAAACTACACCCACCTGACCCCACCCATCCCCGTGGCCACGCCCACCAACCGCTCCCAGCCCCACCCCCATTGGGTGAGCCCCACCCACCCAGGTGGCCGTGCCCAATGGGAAAGACCCTCCCCCTGTGAGGCCACACCCACACCATGGAAGCCACACCCACCAACACCCCCACTGCTCCCTGCCCCACCCCCTCCTGCCCCACCCTCCTGTCCCCTCCTGCCCTACCCCTCCTATCCCACCCTCCTGCCCCACCCCCTCCTGTCCCACCCTCCTGTCCCACCCTCCTGCCCTACCCTCCTGTCCCACCCTCTCTTGTGCCCCACCCTTCCTGTCCCACCCCTCCTGTCCCACCCTCCTGCCTACCCCCTCTGTCCCACCCTCTCTTGTGCCCCACCCCTCCTGTCCCACCTCCTGTCCCACCCCCTCCTGTTCCACCCTCCTGCCCCACCCTTCCTGTCCCACCCTTCCTGTCCCACCCCTCCTACCCCACCCCTCCTACCCCACCCCTCCTGTCCCACCTCCTGCCCCACCCCTCCTGCCCCACCTCTCCTGCCCCACCCTCCTGTCCCACCCCTCCTGTCCCACCCCCTCCTGCCCCACCCTCTCTTGTGCCCCGCCCAGAGGACTTTGGGCAGGGCTGGGGGACACCACGTGCCCTCAGGTGCCACCAGGGGCCATTGGGGGACACCCAGTGCCACGGGATGACCCCTGGTGACACCAAGTGACCCTGGGTGACTCCAGATGGCACCAGATGGCACCAAGTGGTGGTGCTGAGTGACCCCTGGTGACACCGGGTGACACCAGGTGACACTGAGTGATGCTGAGTGACTCTGGGTGACACCAGGTGACACTGAGTGACACTGGGTGACCCCTGGTGATGCCAGGTGACACCAGGTGACACTGAATGACCTCATGAGACAGCCGGTGACCCCGGGTGACCCTGGGTGACGCCAAGTGACGCCGTGTGACCCTGGGTACCCCATGTCCCCAGACAGGGCGCGTGGGGGCCCTGGGGCCCCTGGAGCAGCTGCTCGGTGACCTGTGGGGAGGGGACCCAGCGGCGGGGCCGGAGCCGGACCCCGGCGGGGACGATGGGGACAGGAGGGAGTGGCAGCTGCAAGCGTGTCACCTGCCCTGCTGCCCGGGTGGGACATGGGGACACGGGGCGGGCAGTGAGGGGTATATGGGGGGGACATTGGGGCACACGAGGAGGCCATGGGGGGACAATGGGGATATGGGGTCACACTGGGCAAAATGAAGACACGGGGGGACATGGGGACACAGGGAGACACGGGGGGGACATGAGGGATGTGGGGAGACATGGGGGTCGTGGGTGGATGTTGGGACATGGGGGGGAACACAGAGGGACACATGGAGGACCGTGGGGGGACGTGGGGGCAACACGAGGGGACGTGAGGACATTGTGGGGGGACGTGGGGGACACGTGGAGGATGTGGGGACACGGAGGACGTGGGGGTGACCCGCTGGTGTCCCCAGAGCCGGGGGGCTGGACCCCCTGGTCGCCGTGGGGCAGCTGCTCCGTGACGTGCGGGATGGGGACCCAGAGGCGCAGCCGGAGCTGCACCAACCCCGCCCCCAAGTGCGGGGGCACCTGCGGCGCGGGGGGCACCGAGGAGAGCCAGCAGTGCCAGGGCAAGACCCTGAAGTGTCCCGGTGAGGCCCCTGATGTGTCCCCAGGGAGAGGGGCACGGGGGGAGGGTTTGGAGGAGGGGAGGGGCGGCGGTGGGGAGGAGAAGGAAGAGGGGATGAAGAGAAGCAGATTTTGGGGAGGAGCGGGGAGGGAGTGGAGTGGAGTGGGATAAGGAGGGGAGGGGTGAGAATGCTGGGGGTGGGGAGGGGTGCGAGGCGTGGGGGGATGGGACTGAGCCCCCGCCCTCTCGCAGTGAGCGGGTCCTGGGGCGTGTGGGGCCTTTGGGGCGGCTGCTCCGGCACGTGCTACGGGGCCGGGACGAAGCCGAGGCGGAGCCGCAGCCGCCACTGTGATTCACCCGCGCCTTCGACGGACCCGCCCGGCGACCCCTGTGCCGGCAGCGACACCGACAGCCAGGAGTGCCCGGGGCTGAAGCCCTGCCCCGGTGAGACATCCTGGGCACGTGGGACCCCCAAGGATCACCCCGGGGACCCCTGAACTGTCCTGGGACATCCCGGGCATCGGGGGGTCCCCAGGGATCATCCCGGGGACCCCTGAACTGTCCTGGGACATCCCGGGCATCGGAGGGACCCCAGGGATCACCCGGGGATCCCTGAACTGTCCTGGGACATCCCGGGCACGTGGGACCCCAGGGATCACCCCGGGACCCCTGAACTGCCCTTGGACCCCAGGAGCACCCCAGGACTCCCTCATGATCTGGGACCCCCTGGGACCCCCAAACTTCCCTGGGACATCCTGAACCCCCAGCACCCTACCCGAGACCCCACGACCCCCGCCCCTACCGGGAGTGACGTCCCAGCGGGGAGGGCGTGGCTCACGCCTGCCCCGCCCTTTCCCCTCCCCCGCAGTGGACGGCGCGTGGGGGGGGTGGTCCATGGCCACGCCCTGCTCGGTGACGTGCGGAGTGGGCGGGGTCACGCTGCGCCGCGCGTGCAACAACCCTGCCCCTCAGCACGGCGGCCGCGCGTGCGCAGGAAAGGACACCCGGCAGGGGGTCTGCGGGCCCCGCAAGGCCTGTCCGGGTGAGGGGCGGGGCTTCCAGAGGGCGGGGCCGTTTGGGGCGGGGCTTCGCAGGGAGGCGGTGGATGGGGTGGGGTTTGTTGCGACGGGGCGGGAGTCTGTGAGGTGGGGGCTTTGCAAGGGGCGGAGCTTCAAAGGATGGGTTGTGGAGGGCGGGGCTTGGAATGGGTGTGGGTGTGAAGGGGCGGGGCTTGAGATGGGTGTGGCTGTGAAGGGCGGGGCTTGAGATGGGTGTGGAAGGGGCGGGGCTTGAGATGGTGGTGGGTGTGAAGGGGCGGGCTTGAAAGGGGTATGGGTGTGGAGGGCGGGGCTTGAGATGGGTGTGGGTGTGAAGGGGCGGGGCTGGGTGTGGATTTGGAGGCGGGGCCTGGGCAGGCAGTGCTGCTCAGCTCTGGGGAGGGGGCGGGGCTCCAGCGGGGAGAGGCGTGGCCTGTGAGTGTGGGGGCGTGGCCTGGGTAAATTGACATAAGGGGCAGAGCAAGTCCTGGGGGTGGGGCTTGGCCTTCACCTTCGGGGCTCGAGGAGGGACGGCACGGTGGTGGGGACCCCAACCCACTGCCATGGGGCACCCACAGCGTCCCCTCCCCTTTCTGTGGGGTCACCACATCTTTGCCCTCGCTGTGGGGCACCCACCCCACCCCAGCCCCTATTCCCTTCCTACGTGGGTCAAAGCAAAGCCGAGGCCCCCCCGTCCCCGCTGACCCCCCCTTCCCTCAGAGGAGCTGCACTGGGGGCCGTGGAGCTCCTGGAGCCCCTGCGCCCGCCCCTTCTCCGAGTCCATCCGCTGCAAGAGCCTGGTGGGGCAGCAGCAGCGCACCCGGGCGTGCGTGGGGCACAGCCAGGGGGCCCCGCTGTCCCGCCACGGCGGGGCTCAGCACCATCCACATCCGCGCCTGCTACGACATCCACAACTGCTTCTGTGAGTGACCCCCGGCCCCAGAGCCCCCCCAGAGCTGCCCCACAGCGTGGGGGGGTGACACTGCCCTGTGCCCCCAGTGCCCGGGAACTGGACAGACTGGAGCCCCTGGGGGCTCTGCACCCCCCCGTGTGGGGAGAGCCCCACGCGGAGCCGCAGCCGGGAGTGTCGGCCCATCCTCCCCTCCTACAAGTGCGTGGGGGCTGGGGGCTGGGAGCACGGGCGCTGGGAGAGCCGGGGAGAGGGGACTTTATAGGGCCTTTATGGGGCCGGGAGGGCTCTGTGCAATGGAGGGGCTCTATGGGGTCTCTTTGGGGTCTCTATGGAGGTTCTTTGGGGTCCCTTTGGGGTCTCTATGGAGGTTCTTTGGGGTCCCTACGGGGTCTCTTTGGGGTCTCTATGGAGGTTCTTTGGGGTCTCTATGGAGGTTCTTTGGGGTCTCTATGGAGATTCTTTGGGGTCCCTTTGGGGTCTCTATGGAGGTTCTATGGGGTCTCTATGGGGTTTCTTTGGGGTCTCTATGGAGGTTCTTTGGGGTCTCTATGGGGTCTCTCGGGGGTCTCTGTGGGGTCTCTGTGGGATGCCCGTGGTGTCTGTCTGGGCTCTCCCCGGGGTCCCTGTGGGGTGGGTGTCTGTGGGGCCGTGGGGCCCGGGCTGACAGTGCCCCCCGCAGGCTGACGGTGACACAGATGGGCACCGGCGGGAGCAGCAACGTCACCTTCTCGGGGGTGGCTCGGCCCAGGTGCGAGCCCCTGATGGGGGAGAGGCTGCGCCTGGAGGAGACCCGGCCCTGCCTGCACGTCCTGCCCTGCCCCAACCCCGACGGTCAGAGGGGGAGGGTCCCGGGGGGGGAAGGGGCACAATTTGTGGGTCCCTGGTGGGGAGGGGGAGCGGGTTCGGGGTCCCCCGTTTACCCCCTGCCCCTCTCCCGCCCCACAGAGGAATGAGGCTCCCGGTGACCTCGTGGGACGCTCCTCGGACCCCAAACTCGCCCGGATTTCCCCCCAAAACGCGCTTGGCTCCTCCTCCCGACCCTTCCCTCCAATAAAGACGCGGCACCGAAGCGGCTCCTGACGGCCTGGGGGGATGTGGGGGAGAGAAATGCCGGGGGAGGGGAGGAGGGGGTACCGGAGAGGGGCAGCCTCGGGGTGGGGGGAGAAGGCATCCTAGGGTTCATTTTCCGATGTCCCTGCCCGAGATGACGTCACCGGCCACACCTGCAAGACCCTGCCCTTTCCCTCTGCAGAGCTGGGGCGTGGTTGATTATGACGTCACCACGACACCACGCCCACTTAGAGGGTCTTGGCTGGGGAGGGCGGGGCGGGGGCGGGGCCGGATGTGAGCGCGCGGGGCGGGGGCGGGCGGGCCGCCTGGGATGCTTTAGGGGCTCATCCTGCAGGGGGTCATTCCAGAGGGTCCCACAGGGCCCCCGGCCCCCCGGGCCGCCCCTCCCGATCCCTTCCAGCCCCATCCCCTGTAGCCCCCTCCTTTCTCCTCTAGCCCCCATGCCTTCCAGCCCCCCATCCCCTATAGCCCCCGTCATATCCCTATAGCTCCCCGACCCCATAGCTGCCGATCCCCGGATCCAACTCCCCAGCCCCTCCAGGGCTGTCCCCAACCACCCCAGCTCCCTCCTCCTGCTGAGCAGCTTTTCCTGGGTCCCCCGCGCAGACCCCAATCCCTACAGATCCCCCCCACCAGACATTTCCTATAGGGCAGCCCGACCCTCTCCCCCACAGCCCACATCTTAGAGGGGTTCCTACCCTCGCATCCCCCCCATATCCCTGAGTCCTGCCAGGCCCCACAGCCCTGACCCCTTTAGCGTGACCTCCACAGCCCCGACCCCACAACCCTTAGAGCTGCCCCACAGCGGGGTCCCCACCAGCCCCCTCGGATGACTCGGGACCCCCTTAGGAGGCATCTATAGGTGACCCCCCACCCCCATGACCGAACCCCTATAGGTGACCTCCCAAAATCTGTAGGGTGACCCCTCCCCGGCCTCGCGTTAGCGCCCCCAGCGGCGGGATGGAGTTCCTGCGGCGCCGTCTCTCCGACGGGAATTTCCTCGCGGGGTGGGCGGGACCCTCGGGGCAGGGCCGGGTGGGAGTGGGGGCCTGGGGTGGGGGCGGGGAGACCCCCGGGCCACCGCTTTGGCCCGCTGCTGCTCGTCATCGCCCCCGGCACTGACTGGTAGGTATTGGGACCCCTCTGGGAACCCCCAACCCCCTTCCTCCGGGGAACCCCCTGTCACCTCTGGGACCCCCAGAACCCCTGTACGATCCCCAAATGCCCCTCCTATCCTTGGACCCCTCAACCTTTCTGACCCCTCCTGGTTCCTGGTGGGGGCAGTTTGGGGAGGGGGGCATTAGGCCACATCTCAGGGCATTTGGAGGGGGGACATTTATGGGGAGCTTTGGGGGGGTCGTGTTTGGTGTGGGGGGGTCAAGTTTGGGGCGGCAGATTTAGGGGCTCATTATTGAGGGGGCTGATATTGGAGGTCGGTTTGGGGTGGGAGATTTGGGGGGGTCAGTATGGGAAGGGGCACTTTGGGGGTGTCGTTTGAGGGTGCAGATTTGGGAGGGTTCAGATTTATGGGGACATTTGGGGATGTCTTTTTTCGGGGGGTTTGGTTGGAGAGGGGACCTTGGGGGGGGCATTTTGAGGACCCCAAACCCTCCAGTTTTGGGTTTTGCACCCTCTGACCCCCCCAGGGTGAAGCTGTTCAAGGGTAAATCTGTCCATGGGGATGTGGAGCTGCGAGTGGAGCAGGTGAGTTTTGGGGGCCCTCCCTCAGTTTTGGACAAACCCTAAAATTTTGGGGTCTCTTGATCCTTTGGGCTCTCCCTCAGATTCTGCTGTATCAGTTTGGGGGATCAGGCAGGTTTGAGGGGGCCCCCAAGGAGATTTTGGGGGGTCTGAGGGACTTGGCATTCCCCTGTATTTTTGGGTCCCCTGTTGATTTTTGGGATGCTCTAAACCTCCCATTCCTTGACTCGGCCTGGGGGTTCAAAAAGCTTCAGGGAGGGTTTAGGGGCCCTGAGAGATATTGAGGAATCCCTTGGGGGATTTTGGGGTCCCCTTAAAGCTCCTTTTCTTCCCTCAGTTTGAAGGTTTTGGGGTTTCTCTGGGGGTCTTGGGGTCCTACTGGATTTTGAGGTTCCCCCCTTGAATTTCAGGGGCCCCTAAACCTCCTATTCCTCCATCCAGTTTGGGGGTTCAGGACAGGTTTGGGGGGGGGCACAGGCAGAGTTTTGGGGGTCTCCCTAGATTTTGAGGTCTCCCTGTGAGATTTTGGGCATCCCCTGAATTTTTGAGATGTATCTGAATCTCTTTCTTTGACCCAATTTGGGGCTTCAGGCAGGTTTGGGGTGTGTGTGGGGGGTTGTTCAGGGGTACCAAGGAGGCTTTGAGGTCCCCCCTGGATTTTGGGGTTCCCCAGGCCCAGTTCTCAGAGCTCTCCTTGGCCGCCTCCACCCACGGAGCCCTGAGCGTCACCATCGACTCCCCCCGGGGGGGCACCAGGTGGGATTTGGGGGATCCTCCCCCACTCCCATTCAGGGGCTGAAATTGGGCTACTGGGGCTATGGGGGGGGGTGGAAAGGCAGTTTGGGGAGGTCTTGGGGAGCACTAGGTGGGATCTGGGGCTGTGGGGAGGATTTTGGGGGGTCCAAGGGGTTGTTTTTGAGGAGTCACAGGTGGGAGTTTGAGGGACAGGGTCAGAATTTGGGGTGCAGGGGCAAGTTTAGGGTTTGGGGTGCAGAGTGGGACGTTGGGGTGTGGGAAGGGATTGTTGACACCGGGGTTAGGGGGACAAAGTGGATTTTGGGGGTGAAGTTGCTTATTTGGGGCGGGGGTGAATTTTTTTGGGGTCCAGGTGTAGGTTTGGGGGTGCGGGTCGAGTTTGGGGGTGCAGGGTCGGAGTTTGGGGGTGCGGGGTGGGGCTTTGGGGTGGAGGGAGAGATTTTGGGTGGGATTTTGAGGGGGCAGGGGGTCTGGGGCCCCCTGACCCCTCCCCAGGCGGGTGCGCCCCGACTTTGTGCTGGTTCGAGAGCCCCTGAGGGGCGCCGGGACGCCCTCGGAAGCTGCTGGTGGGGCTGCACCTGGGAGGTCCCCAGCACCGACCCCTCCCCGCCCTCTACGGCTACCCACCCCCCTGCCTGGTGTGTGGGGCACTGGGGGCTGAGGGGCACTGGGGGAATGGGGGGCACTGAGAGGGACCGGGGTGGGGATGTTGGAGGGCACTGGGGAGGGACTGGGAGGCACTGGGAGGGCACTTGTGGGAACTGGGGAGGGACTGGGAGGTGTTGGAACAGACTGGGAGCTGCTGGGAGGGGACTGGGAGGGTCTGGGGGCACTGGGGAAGGACTGAGGGGCACTGGGGTGGACTGGGAGGTGACTGGGGTGACCGGGAGGATGGGAGACTGGGGGACTGAGAGAGATGGGGAGTGGACTGGGAGGCGCTGGGAGGGATAATGGGGCAGACTGGGAGCACTGGGCAGGGTGGTCGCACACCCCCTTGACATTCCCAGTGCTCCCAGTTTGCCCAGTTGGCTCGGCTGCAGCGGGAACTGGGCCCCGAGGCCTTTCCCCTGGTCCCACAGCGCTTCTGCAACCGCCCCCGCGGACTGGTGAGCGCTGGGGAGGGGACTGGGAGCGTTGGGATGGACTGGGAGGGATGGGGGGAGGGGGCTGGGAGTCCTGGGATCTGTCGTGGGGCAAGTGGAGTGCGTGACTGGTGTGTGACTGGTGTCACTGGTGTGTCATTGGTGTGTCAGTGCTGTGTCATGGGTGTGTCCCTGGTGTGTCACTGGTGTCACTGGTGTGTCACTGGTGTGTCCCCAGCTGACAGCCCCCACCTTCCCCATGACGATCACTCTCAGCCCCGCCCCCGCCGGGGTGGGCCAGGTGAGACCCCGCCCCTTTCCCCTCTAAGCTCCACCCCTCCTCAAGCCCCACCCTGTCCCAGGGGTGTGGCCAGGGCGGTCCCCGACCCGGCCACACCCCTGGGACAGGGTGGGGCTTGAGGGGCGGGGCCTGCATTGGGTGGAGGGTGTTGGCCCCATGAGGGGCGTGGCTTGGGTGGGCGTGGCCGATGACGTGTCCCCCCCAGGTGCGCGTGGGGACCCCACAGGTGCTGGGAGCAGTGGCGGCCGCCATGGGAGGGGCCCGGGCCGGGGCCCTGGTGGTGCAGGGGGGTCCCGCGGGGTCGCAGCGGCTGCGGGTGCAGCGGATCGGGGATGAGTACCGAGCTCTGAGGTGAGGGCGGGGCAAGGGGGCGGGACTTGTGTGTCCAAGGGGTGGGGCCAGGCCTTGTGGGCGGGGCCTTTTTGGTGATGGGCGGGGCTTGGACCTCGGGGCGGGGCTTGGAGGTGCAGGGTCCTCTCGGTGTGGAGCAAAATTTGGGGGGGTGGGGAGTGGGTGATGGCCTGGGGGTGTGGCTTGGCTCGGGGGCGTGGCTTAGGGTACCTGCCCATTGGTGACACCCCCGGGTCAGGGTGGGTCAGGCTTTGGGGGTCTCAGGCCCTCTGATGGGGAGGGAGAGCCTGTAGGGGCCTGTAGGAGGGGAATGAGAAATGGGGGATTGGGGGTGGTAACAGAGTCCACGAGGCCTTTGAGGTCCCCCGTGACGCCTGTGCCCACCTTTCTCCCCCAGGTGGTCTGTGGGGGCCGCAGATGCTGCGGGGAGGGGTCGCACGTGGAACCGGTTGCCCTCAGCCCCCGGTGAGTGGGAGGGGCAGGGCCTGAGCCGAGAGGGGGCGGGGCTTGTCTCAAAAGGGGCGGGATCTCCGAGGGCTGAGGGTGGGGTTGAATGCCCGGGGTGGGTCTGTGGGTGCGGGTGACTCCAGCAGGGCAGGGCGCGGCTGTGTGGAGGGGCGGGGCTATGCACAAAGGGGTGGGGCTACATAGAAGGGCGGGGCCATGGGAAGGGGTGGGGCATTGCAGGTGTGGCCTTTAAGAAAGTGTTGTGGCTTCCAGAAAGGGCGTGGCTCTGCTTGGGGGAGGGGCTACATCCAAGAGTGGGGGTTGGGGTGTGGCTCTGTGGGCGGGGCTTCAGGCAGGGGTGCTATAATACCCGAGG